CCGACATATGGCTAAACCGCACAGCATCGCTCGACAAACGAGACCGATCGACAGTGCCCGACGTGGACAGCTACACCGAGCACCACCGTCGTAGTACCCATAAGGCAGAACACCCAGCTCGCAATGGGCAGTTCACGCCAAGGGCAAATAGTCCCTACCGGGCTTCGCGCCCGACTGAGCAACTTCGCTCCATATGCCCGACAAGTCGTCAAGAATGACGGGCCATCTAAAAGGGTCAAAGGGAAGTCTCTCCCCTCGAGTGCAACACTTAGGTGACTCCGGCCAGCGAAAGAAGGTCGGGCACATATACAAATGGAAGACGGGCAGATTCGCCCGCTAAATCACAGCCACTTACGGGCACTCCTCGGGCCCATGACTTAGGCTAAATTTTATGCAAATATATAAGATTTCAAGCACGGGCAAAACATTCAAATATAAAACAACATTCATTCAAATAAAAATGCCCAAAGGCGACAAAACAAACAATTATAAACCGACCAAGAAGGCCGGCGATGTTCATAACGTACAACCGACGGGCACGCAGGCCCAAAAAATACAAATATCAAAGGCACGCAGGCCCGCTATCCTACGATCAGGTGTCCCCGGAACCATCAGCATCGACGACTGGAGAGTCAGGCGGGGGCACGATCGCGCCATCCACTATCTGATGTGTGTAGCCCGTCCCCTCAGTGACCAGACCAGGGTTTAACAAGGAAAGCTGGCCGACTGCGGAGTCGAACCCCTCCTCCAGAGCACCGACGCAATCTGCCTCGAGTAGCCGGATATGGGCGACCAGCTCCGATCGACTCTTCAAAGCCGCTATGTCTTCCGGCTCGTCCTCGGCAGGCAGCATGGCAACTTTCATGTCCTCGATCTGTTGGGCCAAGCGCCCGACATCGGTCTCCAGACGATCCCTGTCCGCGCGGAGAAGCTCTCCCTCCTCGGCCAGCTTCCCCGACCTTTCTTTCTCCAGGACCAACATCTCCCTCTCAGCATCCAGCAGCGATGTCTGCTCGCGGAACATCTCCTCGGAGCGTTCCAGGGCAGTCTTCAACTTCCGCGAGCTCGAGGTGAGAGCCGCTTTCTCCTGCTCAAGTTCTTCAATACAGACAAGATCCCCCCTTCCTCGGACAACACCAGGGCCATTTCGGCCATTTTCACCAGCCCGTCCATGTTGGCGGCCAGATGCCTCTTCCGATCCTCCTTACTCATCCTTTTGATAGTCTCAGCCTCGTCGGCAACCACTGACAGAGGGAATCTCTCGAAGAAACCCTCCTCTTTGAAACAAGGGGGAAACCCGAAAGACCTGACGGCGCTGGTGTCCTCGCTGACAGCCGGACCGCTTTCCACCCGGGTCCTCTTTCTTTGTATCAGGTCGGCATTAGGATCGACCTCTTGAACCTCTGGGATCCCGTCCGACGCGGCCCCCGAGCTGGGCGACGAATCCACCCTCACCACCTGAGGAGCGCCCGGACTATGTGGCGGGCCCATCCTCGTCGCCTGGGGAGCCTTCACGACCCTCCTGCCTCGCTTCTGGTCGCAAGACAGCTTCAAAAGTCTTTCCCTTCGACCGGCCATCGAGCCTGCACAAAATAAAAGACGGGTTAGTGTCGAGCAAGTTCATAAATAAATGACGAGCAAAGAAATTCAAGCAATAAACGACCTAGCAGACGAGCAGCCTGCCTGAACGTCTCACACTCCACGAGTGCCTTAGTATCAATCGGCCGGGACTCAAATGTCGGATAACCCTCTGCATCCAAGACATCTTCCCCTTCCCTCGTGGCCCACCGGGCGGGGTGGAAGCTGTCGACGAACCGACAAAGAGTGGCGTACGCCTCCTCGTCCTCCGAACATATGTCCCCGGCAGCAGTATGGTAGTATCCAGTCCCATGCTCGTAGTGCCTGAACATCCAATGCACAGGGAACTTGGTTGTACGGGCCATCACGGGATACCCATCGTTGCCTAAGACCGCCTCCCCGTCATCATCGCTTATGGGCGCCTCCTCCTCGTACAGGGATCCTAAAGCAGATGTGGTAACTGGCCGCACGACATACCACTTGTCTTTAAAACCCCTCACGGAGTCCATGTACATTTTGAATAGTCTCCTCGACTGTTTTAAGGAGACCCAGCTGTGTTTCCCTCCTCGGGACTGGCGCTGCAGATGAAAAATTCTAAAGAAGAGCGGTATGGTCGCCCCGATCCTCAGAAAGCGATATGTCAGCTCAAACGCCCGGATAAAGGCGAGTGAGTTCGGGTGTAGCTGCGACGGGGCCAACTCCAGATGGGTGAAGACCCCGGTCTGAAAGTCACTGAAGGGCAGCTGCAGCCCAAGATCTTTGAACGCGATCTCGTACATCGGGAAGCTATACTCTGGGTACACCGAGCAGATCCGGGCACGGGAGGTCAGACGCATGACAACGAAATTCTTTTGGAAATCGGGCTGGCCCTGGCCCGCTTCGAGGACAGCATATGGATTTCGGTCACGCCGGCTATATATCGACGCGATTCCTCGGGGCTCGGCGCCCACCCAATCCAGCAAAGGGTCGTCGACAGTATCAATCAAGTTCACCGCCTCATCGGCACTTTGTTCCTCATGTTCGTGGCGTCCAGAGGAGTACGGCTCGTCCGCCATGGTTACCTGCAGAGCACGGGAAACCAGTCAATTGGGCACGAAACCATACGCTCGACTTAGCGGACCGAGTGTAGTGTACGACAAACCACGTCGTTCCATGCACGACCGCAAAAGTTAGTTTGCAACAAGTAGTCGCCTCCCCGACATCTAGAAAACTCGATGTGTCCTTCTCCAAACCGACTACGCGGCCACTCTCCAACATGTCGACCCAAGGTATGAACATGGCGAGCAACATCATGAGACCTACGGCCAGGACCATGAACATACCGGGCGCGATCATGAATCAGGCGCCCTGGATCATGAAGACCCCGGGCAGCGCTGCTGATTATTACCTAAAACTATGAATCTACCGGCCACGAGAGTGTATTTGCCGGTCCTAAGCATGAATATGTCGAGCTAAGCATGAGTTTACCAGGCTAGTCCCACGCGCACAGTCCCTAAAACGTCTACAAACGCTGAAAATCATGCATTACAACAGGAAAGTAAAGAAGATAAGCCACTTACTTGGAATCAAAAAGTGGATTCGGCTACAGAAGAAAAGAATTTGTAACAAGAGATCGCAGCTGTGAAAAATCTGGAAGAACAGCAGCAGTAGGAGCGCAAAGAGTAGAAACGTGTTATGGGGCCCAAAGTTCCTATTTATAGTGATGACGTGGAATACCAAACGTCACCTCGGGCAACCACGGAGTTTCTATCCTCGACGCACTGCTCCCAACGCAATGATGACCCTATCATCATAGGGTGGCGGCACAGTTCCCGAAAGATACCTCGTGTGCTCGACAGACACGCGCCGGCGAGGATCCTCCGAGCATCCACCGCGAAAGATGTCTCCGAGCACGACACGGAGAGGCCCTCGAGGGCCCGCATCTCTGTCCCGGGCGCGAGACCCCGAAGCGGAAACGACTTGAGTTCAAGCCATGGCTCCTAACAAAGGAACCACGACTTGGGGGCTCCTGTTCTGGACTGGGCCCGACAGGCCCAATAGCATTGCTAAGGCCCAATCCAAATGGACTTGCTGAGGACCACGCCGACCAAAGGGTCACAGTCGTGCCCGACGTGCTCCCTGAGGTCACGTGCTCGACCTCTACATCTCCAGCTCGACATCCTGCTGTCCAGCTCGACATCACCTCGAGCACCCCAACTAGGGCAGACTCAGTCCACTGCACTCCCAACGAGACCCCGAAAAGACCGCGTCTCCGTCCGTCCGCACTTCACGCAGAACATCCAGGAAGGGGACCACGTGCGGGTCCCCACTACGCACGTAGAACCTGGCAGTTCCTCCATTGGGCCAAACCTGCCCGGCCCAATGAAGGAACCTTGGCTCAGCGCTGGGGACTATAAATACCCTTTGTTTCCAGAGGGTCAGGTATTCATCATTCTACCCATACACTTATTATTGTCTGCTTGTGCTTCTACTTATTTCAACATCAGAGTGCCTTGCAGGTACCCCCACCTCGTTCGAAAAGCTTTCAGCTCGGAGCCAGCCGTGACGGTCCATTTCTGATCAGATCAGTAATTAAATATGAGATGTTAATTTTTCTACATGGTACATTAGAATTGAATATTTAAGTATTTGATTTTTAATATGCGGAATTTGCAACAGAAATATCTTACATGTAAATTTTTCTACAGATTTTGACTTATATGCATTTTTTTTCTAGATTGTTAAAAGATTGGTACCTAGTTTTTATTCTTATTTATCATAGCATATTTATCATATTTTTTAAAATATCTGGTAATATATGCAGGGGTGTATCAGATTTTTTAAAAATCAGATAGAAATACCATTTATTTATAATACTTTTATGGCTGATTCTTTACCTAGGCAATTGTTGCAGAAATTGCTACGAAAATACACTACCTGCAAGTTTTTCGGTAGATTTTAGATAATATGCAGTTTTTAAGTTTTTAAAAGACTGATACCTAATTTTACGTATTTTATCAATCTTTTCAAAATATCCAATAATTATATGTATATCAAATTTTGTGTATGGCCTACCTTTTCTAACATATGCTTAATAAAAAAAACAAAATAAAAAGTATTTTTGGTATTAAGAAAATGTGAGTATCAAGTATTGGTTCTTGGCCTGCAACAGCAACATTGTCCATGTTGTCAGGTTTTTCAACTTATTCCCTACAATCTCACAAGTCTTGTCTTTGTGTATTTGTTTTTTTTTATTTAGCATAATCTTCATGTCATGTCCTCAACATCCTACAAAAATGATAAAATTAAAAGACTTTATATTACTTAATCTCCTACCAAAGTCTCAAGCTAAGTTCTTTAAACTGAAAGCTAGAATGAAAAGAAAAAAAATCTAAGTTGCTTGTTACCATATGCTAAAAGATAAAAACAAAAATTAAAAACACTCATTCTGGTGTTCTTAAACAACCACCAGGAAGAAGGAACTTAAATTTATCTGCATTTTCTATCAAGTAAGCTGGAAGATTAATCGCAGATGTCGAATGTGGTATTGGCCCCAACTTTTTAAGCAACTCCTGGAAGGAGTATTCTTCAGGTAGCATATCGTAAAGATCAGCTCCTTTGCAAATAATGTCCTGAATTCTTGAATGACTAAGGAAAGATTTCTGTTTGACACGCTCTGCGTGACTATAAGCAGTCATTTTGAAGACAAAGTCTGAAATATGTCGTAAGCAAAAGCTACAATGCCATCCCGCGTCTGATAAGATAAGATCAGTCAGACGCGAGTGTCGGTAATGTGTCCGAGGACCATAGACGTGGGCGCTGGGTTTATAGTTGATGGAGCCTACGGGAAACTCAAACGAGTACAAGTAGTTTCTCAGTTCAAGATGCATTATAGGAGGAATTCCGTCGCACCATTGAAGAAGTTGCAAAGCTTGAGGACTTGGGATCTCATCTGCATCTGACATGAGAAGAATGTCACCATTGGAAATCCCCGCACCGCGTATTAATGTATTCATGGCTCCACGTTGATCTGACTCGAGCACAAACGGGTCCTCGTTTGATCCATGGTCAGAAATTCGACCAGGAAACGAGCCGTGGACAACTTTCTCTTCAGCAAATGCAAACCTTTCCTTGTTTTTGGCAAAGAAAAGAGGCTTTGGAATGCCTGTGAATGTGGTATGGGACTCGAGGATCACGAATTTATACACGTATGGATAAAGTTCGTGCCATCGAATCTCTAACAAGTCTAACTCATTACTGAAGATAATTGCATCAAAAATGCGGCGAGGTTGGGAACGAAGTGACCAACCATGAAGCTGGCAGAGGTGATCCATAGAGACATTTTCGGCGTAAAAATGAGGTATGTATGTGAATGGGGGAGGGGGATTGTCCCAAATGGGTCGGAAGAAATAGACAACCTTTTGGCCATGGACATAAATTCCAATTACACAAACTGGCACAAGTAACAGAAGTAAGAGACAGAAGAACTTGGGAATTTTTCGTCTAGAAGTACGACGTGTTCGGAGAGGCATACCTTAAAGGGAAAATGATTAAGAATTATAATTGATTTCCCCAATTCAATGATCACCTGTTACAATTTTAGCATAAGGTATCAGAAACAAACTATATAAAATTTAGGAACACATTAGAGACAAATAATACTAAGTTGAGATAAAAGAAAATGGACTCATAAAAAGGCAAAACACTCACTAAACTAAACTTGTTTCCATGTAAATGAAAGTGATATTCAGGTCTCATGGTAAGCAATTTCAATAGACAGTGAGAAGGTATGAACAAAAGATGTTTCAGTATACTTGCTCAATAAATTTATGATAAAAAAATACAACTCATCACAAATACAAACTTGTGTTATGACATTTAGAAAATAGAGTTCATGAATGAGATATTCGACAGGATATCTTAACAAAGCAACCATAACTAAAGCACATGTTGCAACTAGATTTATCTATTGTTTAATGTTCACAATGAATCTAACTTGTACCAATAATTGTTGGGAAGTGTCATGAACCCAAAACACCAATGAAACCAATGCTCCAGTACTATAAGAATCTAAAAACCTTAAGTCATTAAATATATAGGTGTCTTCTCTTATAATGGTAGAGGAACATAAATTGAAAAATTGGAATCTAACAAGGACAATGATATGCAATTGCAGAAACGGAAACAAAGAAGAACAAAAATTGCTGCAAATATAAAAACAAATGAGAGAAATTACCTAAGAAAAATAGCTGCAACACGTGGTTTGGTTTTCTCTCTCCTTTTTATATTTTCATCTTATATTTGATTTGTTATTAGATTTAAAAAAGGAAGAAGAAACCGTTAGCGGTGACGGAGGGATCGGAAGGGTCCAACAAATAAAATTTCCTGCCTATTCGGCACGTCCTTCTCTATCGACCAGGAATCTATATGTTTTGTTTTTGTTAATGTGTTATTCTAATTATTATTATTTATTATTTTTTGGATTTACTTCTAATTATTATTTTTACTTTATTTAACTTTCAATTTCTTTTGTCTCTTATGTTAGAGGACGATTTGTTGCCTACAATAAATCAAATATTTATTGGTTGGATCACATCTCATATTTAAATAATAGATAAATGTCTCTCTCCTCTTCTTAGACATTAAACATTACGATTATATAAATCCAAATCAATTAAATTAGACACATTCACACAAATTATATAAAAAAATAGAAAATATTATTATATCAATAATAATGATAAATTAATTATTCTCTTTCCAATATTTTTTTTATAGGGGACTGTGTCCAAATCCAAAATATTTATGATTGTGTTTATAGAATTTTTTTATTTAATTGAATATCAATACCCATAATCTTTCCGATTTTTTTTATAGGGGACTGTGTCCAAATCCAAAATATTTACGATTGTGTTTATAGAAATTTTTTATTTAATTGGATATCAATACCCATAATCAAATATACGCTATGATTCAATGTTGTGTTATGTTATGTTTTTATTTTATTTTAATTTTAAAATAAAATTAAAATTACCGGTATCCATTTAGATTGATGGTTACCAAAAATTTATCATAATATTTTATTTTAATTTAGTTTTTAATGTATTCTAATAATTTAATTTAATTTTTGTTAAATAAAAATAAGACTTAATTAATCTCGTACTCCATTAATCTAATTTATGGTTTCATTTTAGTTTCTTTAAAATATAATTGATTTTAATTTAATTTTAATTTATTCTAATAATTCAAATTAATTTTTCTTCAATAAAAATAAGGTTTAATTAATCTCGTAATCTATTAACTTAATTTATAATTTTATTTTAGTTTTTTAATTAATAAACATTATTGATTTTATCAATGATTAGAACTTACAAGAGGTCGATGTCTTCGCCTGCAAAGCTGGTAATGAGGAGGAGGGAGTGTACCCTGCAAGATACCCCGACTATCAAATAAGAAAGAGTGCACAGAGATACAAGAGAGAGATTATGATTTTTAGAGTTAATCTTGGATACCTGATCCTCACAAGTGTGTGGATTTTTATAATTCCCCCGACGCTTGGTCATTGGTTCATATTTTTTAGGCCTGAATACCAGGTTCCTCGAAAACAAGTAACTGTCAGGAACTAGCCGTTGTAACAGGAAAAGATGCTCGAAAGTAGCCATTACGACAAGCAGAGATGTGCTTTACAAGCAAGCATGATATCTGGTCGTTCCTGGGTGGTTGTCCTCGTGTGGCTTGGCAGGGCGAGGACTAGCCTGTTTGAGCGAGCAGAAGTGACCTTGCAGATCCTGGGAGTCAACCGACCAGGGCCCCTCGAGTGAGGGGCAAAAGGGAAAAGTGTCCCTTATTCATCATGGTTTATTGGGTCTAAGTTATTGGATCGTCCTAGATGCAGAAGTGGATTGGACCCTACTTAGCTATTGAACCAGTCCAGAACAATTACTTTTAAATTCTCAACAACATCTATGTTGACCAATTTGATCATTTCTATATAAATTTTGATAAAGAAAGTGGGAATGCTAATGTGGCAATGGTGTCGACATAATTGGTCAAAGTGAATCGGTAAATATCAATAAGTGTGTTTCTCCACTTTCAATTTTGCTCGTAACATTATATCATTTGTATCAAACTTTTTTGTTTCTAGGGTTCTCTCACAATTCTCCAAAATCATTCATTATCATATTTCCCATTTTCGTTTGAAGCTTTCATCTTTCCTCACAATTTTATTTCATCTTTATTTCTGAAAAATGTCAAACATTTTCAAATGTGGTTCAAAGTCAAACAATTAAAATTTTGATTTTGTTGGTTTTGTACGAAAAAGACACAAATAGAAATATGATCAATTTGAACTTTGAAAAACAAATTTTAAAGTTGTAGAAATTGCACAAATCACATGAATAAATGTTGTAACTTTTTGAAGTAGATGGACGATAACATTATTCATGAAAGAAATTTAAAGATTGAAAGGCAAAAGAAAAAAAAAAACAAATTGAAGAATGAGTCTGTTAATACAAAATTGTAAAATATTTTGTTAGCTAGTATTTATAATCCTTATTTGAAATTAATGAAAAATATTTTGAGCAAAAATGGTGTGATGAGATTGTGAATATGTGTCGTGAATATCTTGGAATAACTGAAATATTTTGACACAATTATAGTCTAAATAGTTTTGTTACATTAATAGATTATGTTTAGAGTAGTTATACTATGAATATGTTGCTTTGAAATAATTATGTTTGGAGTAATTATGTTGCATTGATAATTTTGTTTGGAGTAATAATGTTATATTGACTCAGTGTATTGGTATTTGTATTGGGATAATTCTATTTTTCTTTTGAGAAGGTAAATTGAAAGAGCGTAAGACAAGCCAATTTTAGGAGAGTACTTGTCTAGCACATCTCACTGTCGATTGATCATAATGTGCGCCTATTATTTGAAGTATTCTCCTTTGGTCGAGTTGTTCGCCATATGTTTGGCTTAGATAAAACCACATGTTACCCACTCACAAAACATAGAGATTCATGTGTCCTAGGGCATTAACGGTATAAGTTCGATCAAAAAGAGTAGTCATGTTCCCCACAAAAATAAGGGTAATAATGGTCTTATGCTCCTAAGACAAGGGAGAGTAATCACTCCTTGGGTCTTATAACCCATACCCAATATATCTCTATAAATATCTCAGCTAAGGAAGTAGGGGGACATTTAATTCGCTCAGAAACAACCTAGATACATGGCTTTTGACCATCCTTATGTGAGCACACTAACAACAACTCCAAAACCCTCGGATAGCCCTACACGATTAGGAGTTATAACTCATTATACTTTAACAAGTATAATTGGTACCCGTTGTGGGCCTTAATAAACTAACCAGGGTCACACTCTCTATCATTTATGAGTCTCCTTTGTCATCTTCTCCTTGAGGATGGTAGCATTGAGCAAACATATCACCGTCAACACCATTGATAGAGGTATGCCAAACAGATTTTGACGACAAGTATTGTACCCTCCAGTCCTAAATTAGGTTTGGAGAAGGAGCCAGAGTCCATAATCACTTTCTCCAACGAAGACACCATTGTCATCCTCCTTCATAACAATAATTTCATGGTCATCACGATGAAGTATGATAATTGGTACTTAAAATGAGTGTTTGGGACTTAAAACGAGTGTTGATTGGCCCTGGAAGCTTAACCAACATCTTGCTTTGGAGTGCCTTTGAGAGGCTCTAGCTTGAGCCAAACAACATCTGAGCATTACAAGGCTCCTTATTTGGTCTTTTAGGCAAACAGATACAAATGAAAGGTCACATAACCCTTGAAATGAAGTTTAGGTTAGAGACGAGCACAAAGATGATCAAGATAAAATAATTGATAGTAGACATCTCATCACCAAAAAATAAGATCTTGGAATAACCCTCCCTTAACATTTTAAAGGCGGTCATGTCCATCCTTCATTTGAGCATGAAGTACTTACTGCCCGACGTGAGAGTTGGGGTAGTTCAGAGGGGCCATGAGATTGCTCAGGAATGCTTTAAGAACATTCTAGAAATGAGAAAGGAGAAGATCGTTGCAGTCGCCGACCATAACTAGGCGCACAAAAAATAGATACAACAAGTTAGGATCCCATATAGGAGGCAAAGAATGAAAGAATCTCTTCCATATAAGACCTAAAGGAGGTCAAGGTTGGACTCTTAGACTATCAAGTCACCAAATTAGGAACCTTTCAGCTTGATGCCGAGGAGGATTAGTTGTTGGGGAGAATATGAATTTTAATGGTCTAGAAGGGGGGTTGAATAGACCTTCTATTAGTCGGGATATTTGACAAGCCTCAAATTTCAGCATAGTATGGGGGAAGGTGAAGAAACTTTTTGTGAAGATTTTGGTGATGTTTAGGAATGGGGTCGACATACATGGTGACAATATTTTGACATGAAGATGGCGGACTAGGATTTCAAAATCTAGCCTGGAGGAAGGGTTAAGGGTTTAGAAATTTTTCCAAGAAAAAAGTGTAGACATTTCAAACAAGGTAGTTGAAA